TTTCTTAGCACCTTGCTGTTGCTGAGGCTAGCTTTGAACTCACAATCATCCTGCCTCAGCCTCCCAAACCACTGGGATTACAGGTGTGCACCATCATACCCAGCGCGGCGTTCTCTCTCTCTCTCTCTCTCTCTCTCTCTCTCTCTCTCTTTAAAGAGACACAGAGAGAGAGAATTTTAATATTTATTTTTTATTTTTATTTTTTGGTGGACACAACATCTTTGTTTGTATGTGGTGCTGAGGATCGAACCCGGGCTGCATGCATGCCAGGCGAGCACGCTACTGCTTGAGCCACATCCCCAGCCCATGCCCAGCTCTCTTGACTTATTCTAATCTAGTCCCTTGTCTTAGTTTTCATGTAAAGTGGAGACAAAGACCTCCCTGACAGAGAAATTATAAGGATTAAATGAATAACTCAAGTAAAAGCCCAAGCACAGTGCCTGCACACAGCAATGATGTGGTAAACAGTAGCCTTTACTTCTCTGAGTAGATGGTAAGCTCCTGAGAAGCTGGTCTTCATGTTTAAAACATTTTAAAACATTTCCTAATATCCATAAACTTGGAAGCAACCAAGGTGACCTTTGGTAGATGGATGGATCAATAAACTGTAGCACATCTGGACAATGGAATATTATTCAGCACTAAAGAGAAATGAGCTAGCAAGCTGTGAAAAGACATGGGAAGGGAGTGAATGCACTTCACTGAATGAAAGAAGCCAGACTAAAAAGACTAATACATTGTATGATTCCAACAATACGTCAAAACGTCAGAGACAGTGAAAAGATCCAGGGTTGGGAGGGGAAGGAATGAATATGCAGGACACAAGGGAGTACTATAATGATGGACACATGACACTGTACATTGTCCAAACTTAGAGAATGCATACCAGCGAGAGTGAATCCTAATGTAGAGACTCTGAGTGTCAGTGATATGTCAACGTAGGTCCATCAATTGTAACAAGTATATCACTCTGATGGGCGATGTTGGTCATGGGGGAGACTAAGCAAGTGTGGGAACAGGAAATCTCTGTACCTTCTGGTCAATTTTGCAGAAGCAAAACTAAAATGGTTCTAAAAACAAACACAAAAAAACCAAACACATTAAAAACAGTAAGTAATCAATTATGTCTGAGACTGTTATGAATTTATGAATATTTGCTAAGTGTGAGGCATCTGGTCATTGGGTGAATAGTCCACAATCAAGAAAATAGCCTAAGCTTGGAGTCCATGGATCAAGAGCTCTGGAGCTGATTCATCTCCTTGTTCATGCATGTGTTTAGAAGGTTTAGGTGAGGCGCTTTGGACAAAGGGAGTAGAGCCCAAACCTCAGAAAATTTCTGAGGTTGGTTTTCAAATTAGAACCATGAGGGAAAAGGCTCTGGAAGCGAGCTGCATGCGTGCTGGAAGGACTGGCTCATGTCTGGCTAGCAGCAGCTCAAATGTGCAAAGTGGCTTTGGTCCATGCGAACTGGTCCCATCAGGAACGGACTGGCTCCTTCGGTCTCACTTGCCAGCGCCCTGGGAAGGAGATTCTTTCCTGGAACACCAAGACTATCTTGCATCTTGCCTGGGACTCTGTGAAACTCTCAGCAATGCCTGGCCCAGCTGGGTGTACCCTGAAACACCACATTTGATATTGGGATTGATATTCCTCTTTTACATTGTGGTTGGGACTCATTAACTCTCAATAGGGATCCACACTGAAGGAGCTGCCTCCCTTTCTAGCAAAAAAATGTCTCATAAGTTGGGCCACAGCTCCTGTAACTGATTTGTTCTCCTGGCATGGGGACAGCATGTTGTGTGGTACCCTGAGGCTGGTGAGAAAGGGGACAGACTCAAGAATTCCTGGGTGGGAAGGGCTCTTCCTTGCATTCACCACAATTGCTAAAATACTATGTTTAATAGCCCGAGACTGGTCTATATTTGCATGGAAACCATGTATGTGTGGAATTTTATTTTATTTTATTTTTTTACTTCAAGATGGCCATAATAAGAGCCAGACCATTGTTGATGAGTCTAACGATTAGAAGCAGCCTCGAAATTCCTCACACAATCATGTTGGGTTCAATTTTGAGATCTTGTTCTAATAGTTCAAAATGTGTGGTGTTTATCTAGCAACCTCACTAAAGAACTCATATTCACTGGTGCCAAACACGTGCGTTAGGTTTGCAGCTGCCCCCATCAAGGATTGGCTCAGTAACCAGCCAAAGTAACGGAGTTTACGTAAAGCAGTTTGGAAGGGTATTGGAAGGTTCATTTTAGTAACTGCTATATTTATGTCCATCATATCACTATTAAATTGGCAGGCGTGAGGCAGCCTTCAGAGTGGCTGAGTGTGTACCGTCACCATTCCTGGATGCGCTGTGCTCGGGAACAAGGAGTGCAAAGAAGACTCTTGGCTTTAGGAACTTGGCTTGACATTTCTATCCATTTGAGTCATGGCCACAATGGCACCTGCTTCCTTTGGAGCCAGACTTACACATTACCACCATTACTCTTTAATAGCACTAAAATTGCACTCATTTGTGAAATCTGTCTCTTCTCTTTTCTGCCACAGAATGGAATCTCCAGGGCTCTGTGTGTGTGTGTGTGTGTGTGTGTGTGTGTACATTCTGAGCTGCTGCCTGAGAAATTTTTTCTTGCATTAGTTTTCAAGGGATTCTGGTAAAGAACGTCTTACAGCAATCAGAAAAACCAACATTTAAACTGAAAAACAATCAGATGATAAAGACCTCTGCTTTAGTTTACTACATAAAAGGTAATGTACAAAGATTTCAACTTGGGGTGTGGGATTGGAGAGGCTCTTCCAGTATATAATGAGTGGTGTCTGCAAAATAATCACTGCCTTCCAAAGTGAGAAACTTGAACTCCAAGAATAAACTCGTGCTCTCATTTATTTCTTAAATGAGAAAAAAGACCCTAATGTAACTATCAAGACACTCCCATGGTTTCTGATTTATCATGAACAATGAAATGTTATTTTTAAAAATCTTTGATGTCCAAGAAATAGAAAAAACTTGCAGGGCAAGGGTAGAGGAGTCTAGATCAAGGGTTGGCAAACTATAGCCCAGGGATTGGTGTATTTTTATAAATCAAGTTATACTGGAGCATAGCCATGCTCATTTGTTTACATATTGTCTGCGGATGCTTTTGTGCTACAATGGCAGAGTTGAGTATTTAGGATCGACATCGTATGGACAACGCAGACCCCAAAATATTTACTCTCTGAGTTTTTACTGAAAAAGTTTGCCAATCACTGGTCTAGACAAATAGTCAGATGAGCCAAATGTTGGCTGAAGGTCCCCAACTTACATGCCAAGGGAGGACTAGATTGGTTTTGTTTATTGTCATGCACTAGTACTTTTAAAAATCCCACAAGTCAGTACACTAAAACTCCTACGATTCACCTTACTTTGGGGCACCAATATGGAAAATAAAATTAGATCTGTGTGTATTTTCTATGTAATCTGGATTTCTAAAGCATTGCTGGATTATATAAATCAATGTCATTTCTTAGTACTTTTAATAGTGTTGGTGGCCTGTAAATACTGGTGCTGTGCTTGTGTCTGCAAAATTATACAATATTCAAAACTGTGCACTCTAGCTATAAATGGAGTCCTACTTCAAGTAAAACTCTTCAGTCTAATTGTTTCCCAATCCTAACCAGTTTCAAGATTCACCAGAAAGCTGTAGTTTACGGCCCCAGACACACTTCTCAGCTGTGCCTCCCAGTGTCAACATGCCGTGCCCATTCAGCACAACGTGCCATAAATTAGACAACTGCTGACTCTGAACCATGGGACACTTTCCACAATGGCAAAAACTGTTACCAGGAGTTCAGAGGCCAGACACACATGGGCTCCGGGCTATTTTTTGTACACTGCTGATAGATTTGCATCTCTCTTCTTTGTGGCTAATTTTGGCCAGTCTGGTCAACAGTGTGGGTTAGTATAGACATTTTCTGGAATTATTCACACAAATCTGTTTTTAGAATAAGGAAATTATGTTTAATTTTATATTCTTTTAATCCATTTCTATATTTTAGCAGGCCTTTATTTTATAATAAAAAGCTTCAGAATAAAGAAAAAGATTATAGGTTAGGCAAGCACAGTGGCAAATGCCTGTAATCCAGCAGCTCGGGAGGCTAAGGCAGGAGGATCCTAAGTTCAAAGCCAAAATCAGCAAAAGTGAGGCACTAAGCATCTCAGTGAGACTCTAAATGAAATACGAAACAGTGGCTCAGTGGTTAAGTGTCCCCGAGTTCAATCCCTGGTACCTCCTTATCTCATAAATGAGTATAGGTTAGGATGAAGAACAAAACTAAAAGCAGTTAAGATTGCAATCCCCCTAGCTCTGAGTTGAACTCCTACACTAATGAGAGACCACTGGCTGGAACAATATCAGACTCAACAGGTCAGGAGTGATCTGAAGGTTTTGAAATATCATTAGGGATAGGGCTTCATTATTTGATTACAATTAAGTCTTCCTCTTTTCTTCTCATTTAAATGTTAGGTAGGTTATAAACAACAGATATTACTATGGATTCTACCTGCGAACTATCTTAGTAGACCTGGGATTAATAGCAGCTGAAAAGCCATTAAGGGCACAGGAGCCCTACTGGGCAGATTTAACTAGCTGAAATCCAGCCAGGCACAATGGCTTGAGCAACTTAGTGATTGCTTACTAAGCAAAATATAAAATAAAAAGGGCTGGGGATGTGGCTCAGTGATAAATTGCACCTGGGTTAAATCCCCTCTCCCAAAAGGCTGAAAGCTAGGTCTCCCGTCATAACCTTCCTAGAAGAATCCACTAGGTTTGAGACAATGACTTGAGAAAGAAATGGAGTATAGTGCAAATATCACTATGAATCCAAATGTGAGTTTTGAGACTTGTGTTGAAAGTTAAAACATAAACCCACCTGATAAATCATAAAATCTGTAACAGTTAAAGGCATAGAATATAGTTTTTCTTCAGTTTCAATTCAAGTATAATAGGACCATATGGCTGAAGAAAATGCCATCATTCTACATTTTTATTAAAAATAAACAGCCATTAGTCCTAATTAATTTCCCCCCTTAACATTTCACAGATTCACTTGTCATCCTTGCCCAGGGGCCATGCTCTGTACTGTTCCAATTTTAGAATATGTGTTATGGAAATGAGCACAGTCCTATTTTTAAAATTTTTTTTAGGCTTAAAATAGTCCGTCATACCAGTCTTTGAATTCTGCTATGGTACCACTGCAGAATGACACTTATAAATTCTCATTTTACAGAGGCCCTTTCTTTTCAAAGGAGGATTTTAAGGGTTAGTTTTCAGAAAAGACGAGTTGCCTTTCTAATTCAGGAATGAAAAGGGGAGCTCTGTATGGGAGGCTCATAAAAGGTACCCTAGAACTTTCTTTCAGGACTGAGGTTGCCGGGCTAAGGGGTCTTCTGAAGCCAAGCAATAGCCTACAAGCCACGTGGGAGAAGCAACCTTTGCCTCCTATGACCGGATTTCGAAGGCACATTTTTGTGTGACATTCCTGCTTGAGCATTCAGGCCCCAATTAAGATCTAGCTGGTTAGATGATCACTAGGGAGAGTTCCAGGGTGTGGGGAACACTTCGAGTTACATTCCATGAGAACATTAGACTGTCAAAGCGTAGGAAGGCTCTGATTGTCCACAGTGGGGAAGGGCTGAAACTAATGTGAGCACATGTCAGCATGAAATAGCTGCTGACACAAATTGAACATGTGCAATCTTTTAAAAAGGTGGTATCGAGTAACAGGCCCACAGCCATCCCTCTGGGCACTTTAGACCTCTTTCTTCTCTCCACTTTGGCTCTTTGTTGAGTCACTTCCATCAGGCAAGGTTCCATAGGATAAGCCATTTGAATCTGGTTGTATTTTGTCCGACGTTTGTTTCCCTGTGGAGATAATAATCATAGAAAAAAAAATCTTTTTGAGCCTTACGGAAGAAAAAAAAACCCTAATAATTTCTCTTTGGTCTAGGCCACATTTTATTCCCCTTTATTTATTTTTAAAGTACTATGTGGTCACCCTCTAAACAGAAAAGATAACCGTCAAGGAAGAAAGGCCCAAGGAAGTCCATGTCACTTGGTGTGTGGTCACGCACTGTCCATGTGAGAGAGCTGTCTCCCGACCCCAAGCTGGGCATGGAAATCGGTTGGCCAGTCAGGAGATTCGTGTGAAGCACTCACTCATCTCCAAACCTTTCTCCCCAGGGCTTTGTCCTCTTTTCCATGTCTAGTCTAAAGCATATGACAACACAGAAAAAACAGACTTTCATGGAGCCTTCAAAAGCTGCTCCTCTATATGGGGCTTTACGAAGTGGAAAACAGAATTAAAAATAATGGTGTGGACAAATGTGGACCATCAGAGCCTTCCTACGCTTTGACAGTCTAATGTTTTCATGGAATGCAATTTGAAGTGGTCCCCACACCCTGGGTTTGGTTCCCAAACAAGTTGTCTCTAATGCATACCCTTGCCACAGATGCCTATGATTGCCCAGAATGCTTTTTGGCTGATAAGATGGCTCACACAGAAAAAAGAACACAGGATTCATTGCCCAGGGCCATGATTTCTCAGTCTTAGGGATGAGGCTTTAGTGGGTTTTGCCTACTGAATGGTGGAGGAGGCTCTGAGAATCTATTTCCTACCTGGAAACGAGAGAAGCAACCTAGGGAGAGGTCACCCCAAATCCCTAGCCAAGTGGTGAATGTGAGGGAAGAAGAACCGGAAAGAGGATGCATGTTAACCCAATCTAGATGCATGAGGGGACAAGGGAGGAGAAGCCCTCCTGTTCTGGAGGCTGTGACGATGTCACTTTTGGCACATGGTTCACAGGCCACCTCAGTCTCCCCTAGGAGTGATGTTCCTTAGCAGCCTAACCTTCAGTCCTTATATGTATCTCCAAAGCCTCTCCAAGTGGCAGGGATCTGCTGTTGGTAGCCATTTCCCACATGTTTCCCCTATCTTTTTACACTCTAAGAAAAAAAAAAAAACCCTAAATCCCCAGATCTATGCAAAACTGACATTCCATAAATTATTATTAACATTTACACTGAAAACATCACCTTTGCTTCATCATTAAGTGTACTTTTTTTGAGGGTAAGAATTATGTTTTATATTAACTCCATACCACCAAATAATACCAACAATTGTTAACTTATAAGGATAAAAGCTTCTATTATAAACAAGAGAATATATTTATATATTTTTACCAGGAATATCTCCAAAATCAATATAGGACTGTTGCAGATGTTCCTTTTCTTGATTTCTTGTGACCAAAAACACACCAAGAAATGACAGAAAGCACCTGTAAGAAAAAATATTAATAAAGAACAAAGGAACGCTGAAACAGCTCATGGTATTAAATAACTGAGCTCCATATCCTACATGATGACATAAATTCCATCAGTTTTGTTTATCCTGCTTCTCATGGTAAGCTGCCTAGAAGTTGTCTTAATTGTTGGAGCCAATAATATTTGTACCCAGAACCAAGACTTGGGCAGCTTCCAATAAATCTCTGCCCCAGGTTTTTACCATCTGGAGGCTAATTCAGTCGCTAAGCCCTTTGGGTAGACACTAGGTCTCGTTTTCTATCCATGCATGCCCAGACCCATTACTGGCATGCAAACACAAGTGCAAAAACAATTTATTCCTTAATTTTCTAAGAAATCTCGTTGTCCTTGGCCATAAGAGTAGTCATAGTTTCCAGACCCCAGAAGTTTGGCCTCGCCCAAATGTCTTATGAAATTGAATTTTCAAGATAGATGGTTTCCTATGCTGAAAATAGTTTAGGCTCAAGTTTGCATAACAATGGTCATGCTGAATACCAGATCAAATGGAATGCCACTTGAAGCCAATGGAAGCTTCTATACATTGGCTGTATCTTGTCAAGGTTCTGCTCTGTATGCCAGCAAGGCTAGTGATGTGTCCCTCAGATTTCTAGGAAGCATGGAGCTGGCCACTCTAAGAGAGGAATGGATCGACTTGATGCTCCTAGGTCCAAATCTAGGGATCTGCTCCTGTCTTGGTCTTTTATTCTAGGATGATTCCTAGAAGCATCCTCTAATTGAGATCTAATCTCGGGGTTCCCAAGAGTGAGGTAGGTCTGGTACAGTAGTAAAAGGTGGAGTAACTACAAAGGCCAGTGAGTTTAATCTCAACTTTGGCTGGCACTGAAAATCACCAATGCTTTAGGACCCTCAGGGAGATACCTAAATCAAAAGCCAAAGACACTGAGCCCTGTGAAAGGTGTTAAGTTGAAAAATATGTTTCTTTTAGGAGTGCAGGAAACTGGTGTTTCTTACATTATTTTCCAATTTTCTATACTTCAGGTGCAATGCCAAAAATCCTATTAAAAGTAATAGAATTTCACATACCTTACTTCTGAGGCATTTACTCACCCAAAAAGATATATAAATACAGTGAGAAAAGCGGCACCACGGAATTCCTGGTAAAATATGATACCTATATAGGAATAGAATACAGAATTAATTTTAGGGTAGGAGTATTTACAATAGTTACACATTATTTCTAGAATTATGTAAATATGTCTAAATATGGCTATCCTTAAAATGCACATTCAGTAGTTTATTTTTAAAAAAATTTGCATGCCACACTTACATTTAAAATTATTCCAAAGGAACAGAGACTTGTAGATTTTATGTAATATGATTATAATTATTATAAAATCAACACAATTGACAAAAGGTTTCCTTTTCTTTTTTCTTTTTTTTTTTTTTGGTATGGGGGACTGGATCAAGGGGTGCTTTACCACTGAGCTGTATCTTCTGTCCTTTTTATTTTATTTTGAGACAAGCTCTTGCTAAGTTGCTGAGTTTCTGAGGCTGGCTTTAAATTTGTGATCTTTCTGCCTCAGACTCTCGAGTTGCTAGGATTATAGACACAACCCACTGTGCCTGGCTTGACATAAGTTTGCAAGCCAGGCACAGAATTACCCAGTCCAAGAATTTCTCACCAGAATATACAAGAGAACAAAAGTCTAGGGACCATATTCCACCTATGATTTTAGATCAGGGTCAGCACCTGGCCTGAGAGTCTGGGTGAACCATGGGGTCACTGACATGGCAGGCCCACCTCAGGCCAGCAGCTGTAGCCCCTCTGTCACTCTTGGCTATGCCCTGTGGTCTGCCAGCCTGGTCACATGCCCATACAGGTACAGGAAAACACTGGCCACTGGGGTGTTGCCCCCGCTTCATTTTCCTCTGCTAACTGCTCTCATGTCCTCCTTCTGGCCTCCCTTCCTAGGCGATGGCAAGAAAGCATGCAGGATTTATTTTGAGGAACTTTTCTTCTCTCCCTGTTGGTCTCAATGATTCCTTGTTAGTTTGAGGTCCTAAAACCTTTGTAGGGTTTTGTTAAACAAGATATCCTTAGTGTATGAAGCACCTGGAATCAGAGTTTTTGTGTCAGGAGCTAGCTTTGTTAGCCAGTCAATGAGTACTTACCGAGTGTCTCCTGTGCACTGCTGTTGGGGGTGATGGAGACCCCACTGTGAACAAGAGGAGTCCCGCTCACAGGAGACAAAGCTTTCTCAGCCTCAACCTTATCTCCTTACTCTGAGAATGGACTTCTTACAGGAAGAAGCCACATAGAACTGGATGAATATTTCTGAAACATCTTCCATATTATCACATACTTCTTCATTATCATTTTATTGTGTCCATGTTATTCTAAACTAATGCACCATAATATTCATTATATTCATAATATTCATTTCTGAGGACAGTTTAAGTTGTTTCTAATTGCTTGTTCTTTAGTAAATAAGCAATGAACTTCTTTTACACATTTCCTCCAGTGTTTTATGATTTTTTTTGTCATTAAAATTGGTTTCTAGAAATGGAGTTTCTGTTTCAAAGAGTATAAACACATTTTATTTTATTTTTAATTTTTTTAAATATTTTTTTTGTTTTAGATGGACACAATATCTTTATTTGTTTTTATATGGTGCTGAGGATAGAACCCAGTGCCTCACATATGCCAGGCCAGCACGCTACCACTTGAGCCACATCCCCAGCCCCACACATTGTATTTTAAAAAATTACAACAAAGTAAAGCTGGTGCAGTGGTGCACACCTGTAATCCCAGCGTCTCAGGAAGCTGAGACAGGAGGATCAAGAGTTCAAAGCCAGCCTCTGCAAAAGTGAGACACAAAGTGACTCAGTGAGACTCTGTCTCTAAATAAAATACGAAATAGGGCTGGGGATGTGGCTCAGTGGTCAAGTGCCCCTGAGTTCAATCCCTGGTACCAAAGAAAAAAAAAAAAGTAAGCCAGGTATAGTGGTACATGTATGTAATCCCAGCTATTTGGGAGGTTGCGATGAGATGATTGTGAGTTCAAGATCAGGCAAGGCAACACAGCAAGACTCCATCTCAAACAAAAAATTGTAGTAAGATGTAAATAATATAAAATTTACCACCTTAATCATTTGTAGATGTATGGATCAGCAGTGTTAAGCATATTCACATCGTTTCACAACCAATTTCCAGAACTTTTCCTCTTCAAATTGAAATCCTATTCCCTTTAAACAACTCCCTATTTCCTCTTTCCCCCAGTCCCTGGCAACTACCATTCTATCTTCTGTTTCTAGGAATTTGACTATTTTTAGATACCTCAGATAAGTGGAATAGTATTTTTCTTTTTGTGACTTACTTTACATAGAACAACATCCTCAAGATTTATTTGTGGTTTGATGTATATCAAAATCTCCTCTAGTCAAAGGCTGAATAATATTCCATTGTATGTATATACCAAATTTTCTTCATCTACTCATCTGTCAATGAGAACTTGGGCCATCTCTACCTTTTGGCTATTTTGAATACTGCCGCTATGAACATAGATAACAAATTTCTTTAAGACCTTGCTTTCAATTCTTCTGGGTGTGTGCCCACAAGAGGAATTGATGACTATATGATAATTCAATTTTTAAATATTTTTGAGGAACTTGCCATACTATTTTTCTATAACAGATGCACCATTTTATATTCTACCAAGGATGCACAAGAGTTCTGATTTTTCCATATCCTGTCCAACGCGTGTTATTTTCTATTTTTAATAGCAGCTATTCTAATGGATGTGAAGTGATATCTGATTGTGGTTTTGATTTGCATTTCCTTGATGATTAGTGATGTTGAACATATTTCCAGCAATGCCTGTTGATCATTTTATGTTTTCTTTGCAGAAACATCTATTTAAACAATCCTTTGTGCATTTCAAAATCAAGTCTTTTTTTGTCTTTTTGTCATGGCCAGGGATGGTGGCACATTCCTGTAGTCCCAGCAATTCGGGAGGCTGAGGCAGAAGGACTGAAAGTTAAAGTCAGCCTGGGCAACTTAGGGAGACCCTGACTCAGAATTAAAATAAAATAATAAAAAGGGCTAGGGATGTACTCAATGTAAAGTGTCCCTGGGTTCAATCCCCAGTAAAAAAAACAACAACAACAACAACAACAAAAAAAACATTTTCATCATTCCCAAAGAGAAACTCAGCACCCCATCAGCAGTTATTCCCCTTTACTACTGCAACAGCCACCATCACCAGCCCTGGCAACCATTAATTTACTTTGTGAGGATATCCCTATTCTGGACATTTCACATAAATGGAATCTTTACTAATACGTACTCTTGTCTGGCTTCTTTAACTCATGATAATGTTTTCAGAGGCCGTCTGTGCTGTCGCATGTCTTGGCCCTACATTCCTTTTTATGGCCCAGTGATATCCACTGCATTGAGAGAACACATTGTGCTCATCTGTTCATATGTTTGGGTTGCTTTTACTTTTTGACTATTATGAATAAAGCTTCTCTGACCTTGGTATAAAATATTTTGGGTGGATGTTATGTTTCCATTTTTCTTGGTACAGACATAGAAATAGAATTGTTACATTACATGGTGATTTTTTACTTTTTTGATTTTTGGTACTGGGGATTGAACCCAGAGGCGCTTGACCACTGAGTCACATCCCCAGCACTTTTTAATTTTTTATTTTGAGTCAGGGTCTCTCCAAGTTGCTTAAGGCCTTGCTCAGTTGCTGAGGCTGGCTTTGAACTTGCTTTCCTCCTGCCCCAGCCTCCCAAGGTGCGGGACTACAGGTGTGCACCACCGTGCCCAATTAGGTTACATGATAATTTTATGTCTATCATTTTTTTAATTTGTTCTTTTTAGGTACACATGACAGCAGAATGTATTTTGACATATCATACATATATGGAATATAACTTCCCATTCTTGTGGTAGTACATGATGTGCAGTTACACTGGTTGTGTATTCATATAGAACATAGGAAAGTAAGGTCTGATATTTTACTGTCTTTCCATTCCTATCCCCTATCTTCGCTCCCTTCCCACCATTCCCCCCTGCCCAATTCAGTGAACCTCCACTCCTCCTGCCCCCTCCCCCCACCTATTGTGAGTCAGCATCCTTTGTTTTTTGGGGGGATTGGCTTATTTCACTTAGCATGATAGCCTCCAGCTCCACCCATTTACTGGCAAATGCCATAATTTCATTTTTCTTTATGGCTGAATAATATTCTGTTGTGTATATGTACCACATTTTCTTTCTATTAAAGGGCACCCTAGGTTCCATAGCTTAGCTATTGTGAATTGAATTGCTATGAACATTAAAATCAGGTCATTTGTGTTTTTATTTTGAGTTGTAGAATTGTAGAGTATAAAACATGTGTAAGGCCTAGATAAAAACTATGGACCTGAGTTCTAGGGAGCTGGGACCATCTACCCAACCTCAGGAGGGTGTCTCTGATAGTGTAGCCTCATCTGCACTGGCTATTGAAATAAAACAAGCAAAAGTTGACTAATTAGTAGGCAAATATTTAACTTTAAGCTATGCCCTGTGACAGAGGCAGAGAGAAGTTAGTTGAGAAGCTTCACTTCCATTCTACTTGTAACATAAGAAGAACTGTCAACACTTCCAAAGTCCCCAGCCTCCCCGACTCACCAATTACTCCACGTGTTGAGTATTGAGACCCAGCCCTGCAGCCCTCCTAGAAGATCTTCAGCCAGGGAACTGCATTCTTTACCCATCTTTCTGCATATTTATGTTAATTATTAGGCTGGATATCAGCCTGTCTATAACTCTTTTGGGTCTAATTTTTACTTTCCAGTAATTCTAGGACATAACAAAATACAATCTTTTCTCACTATCTTTTATCAGGAAGTGCAAAATACTGAAAAAAAATTAGATGTCTTGGGATATAATTTTTCTTTAAATAAAAAGTTCAATTTTGGGAAACAGAAAATACATTATTACTTAAAAAATAAAGAAAAAAAAACTGTCCAATGGCAGTCACATTTGTTGGCCATGAGATAAGAACAAAGATGCACCAATTCAGAAGCAGGTAATCCCCAATTGCTTCCAAAATACAAAATTTTAGAGAAATAAACTCCTAAGACAAGAAGGTGGTAAATAAGCCAAGGAACTAGGGCATATCAGTATTAAATTTAGAAGGAATCTATTTGAATCTACTGTATTTTAGTTTGGACCAAGTTTTAAATTTGTACTTTTGAACACTATTGTGTCTGTAATGTTAAAAAACAAAACAAAACAAAACAAAAACCAAAAAACACTTCTTCACCAAAATATAAAAACTGTAAAAGAAGAAATATGGAGGCTGGAACACTGAAGGCAGTAATTTCCATGCTTATCTGTCTCTCTTTGCCTGGAATGCTAAATTGGTTTTACGACTCCACTCTCTGATCAAGCTGGTAAGGGGCATAATATAGGGAAGAGTTCATGAAATTGAGGAAGTCTGCCCCAGAGACAAGATTCAAGAGGGCTTTTGGTTGCTTTGATTATCAGCAGAGCTAGTAAGGGGAAGACTCCCAGGAACAGAACAAAGATGACTGTCTTGAATTTTTAATAAAACTGATTTCCGAGGCTGGGGTTGTGGCTCAGTGGCAGAGCGCTTGCCTTGCACATGTGAGGCACTGGGTTCGGTCCTCAGCACCACTTAAAAAAATAAACAAAATAAAGATATTGTGTCCAAGTATAACTAAAAAATAATAAAAATAAACTGATTTCAGGTCTAGTATAAGGAAACACTTTTTTGGGAGGCGGGGAATGTGGGTACCAGAGATTGAACCAGGGGCAGTCGACCACTGAGCACATTCCAGCCCTATTTTGTATTTTATTGAGGGACAGGGTCTCACTGAGTTTCTTAGCACCTCGCTTTTGCTGAGGCTGGCTTTGAACTCATGATCCTCCTGCCTCACCCTCCTGAGCCATTGGGATTACAGGTATGTGTCACTGTGCCCGGCAACACTTTCTAATAATTAGAACTCTCTGAATAAGAGCTGTCTCAGGTGACAAAGAGCTGTCTCAGGTGACAAAGAGCACTGGGTAGCATTCACAGCCTGTAGAATGGCCCATCCTGGAGGATGTCATGGAGGAAATTCAGACACTGGGTGCAGGCTGGGGGCGGGGGATATGGGTTCCTTAGTTTCCTATAACCTAACCATTTCTTGATCTCTTATTTACCCTGAAAGAAACTTCACTTATGCAGGTGGGGGTGGAATCATCTATGTTGGGAAAGCCAAAACTCACCTGCGGTGATGGCGCTGGTTGTAAAGAAAACATGGTTAACGGGCACCACTGCTGTCGTGTTGTAGAGCTTCGTGGCTTGATTCAGGAACCTAGAGCAGAAGGTACTTACTAGAGCTTGGGCTTAGAGAAGCTTAGCAATAAGTTAACAATAACTTCAAGAAATGCATGTTCTGTAGCCACAACTACAAAGGGAAAGGAAGTGCAGGGAAAGGGCATTTCCAATCAGCAGTCATAGCTTATGTGCATCTGATGTATGAGATCAGATGTCAGGTTTTATGGTCTGTTTAAACCAACAACAGTAACAATGAAAAGCAATTAATCATATTCTGAGGCCACAGAAGTTTGAGTTGGAAGCGATTCAAGCTGCTGGACCAGTATCATTCTGGGGCTGATTCATTAGGATAGACCCTTGAATCTGTTAAATATCATATCTGGGGAATAGTATAGCTATCCATTGACATGCCACGTGCCAAGAAAGAAGATGGAGAAGTAAAAGAATGTTTAATGTTTCAAAAACAATGCTCAGTGCTCCAGCTGCAGAGCACATGTGGGAGCTCAGCTTCTCACTCTGGCCACCAACAGGAATTCAGGTTCCCGCTCTGTGCTGTGCTGCCCTGCCGAGGACTAGACTTTTCTAAAGCAGTGAATTGCATGGATATCACCTGGATGCTTTAAAAAAGCACTAATGCTTAGGTCCTACTCTAGGGCAACTACAAAACACAACACAACACAACAAAAAAACCTTTGTGGGTAGAGCCGAGGTGTGTGTGTGCACACATACATGTATGGAGGGCCATATAACTGCAGGAATATGTATGTGTGTACACATGCGTGCATATTCACCTATATGTCCAAACACAGCAACTCTTTTAACCACAGTCTACAGTGCGACAGGCACAGGGACTGAAGCAAGGGCAACAGGATGAAGTTTACCTTCCACAATGTGTGCTTTTTAAGTCACGGAAGCTAAGATAAGGACAATGATACTAATCATTAAATCCCAAAAGATACTGTAGCAGTACTGATTAATTCAGAAGAAAGAGAGAAGAAACAAAATGGCAAGATACGAGGTTACAAACATACTCAGTCTTGTAAGGAAATGATAAAACAGTGAGTGTGCTGGGCTTCTCCAGCAGCCCTCCAGAGGCCTTTGCACTGGGCTATATCCAGCCCATAACAGGGAGACTTCACAGAAGGCATCAGTCGTGTTCTGAGCTCTGATTTCCTGGCTGGCACTGGGTGGTCCTTTGGTGTAGCATTGGGGGTGAATAGAAAACTCTCTGGCCAACTCAAGAGGGCCTAGCAGGCAAAGGCATAAGCACTACGTGAAACAGAGAGGGAGTGATTAGAGCAGAGGGGGGTGGGGGCAGAGAAAAGCAGAAATTAAAAATGTTCCATGTCACCACTATTAGGACCCAAGAGAAACATAAAACAATCACTCTGCAATCCCATGGGTGCAAAGAAAATTCTGGCCAAAGATGCAGAATTCTGGGGAAAGGATTTTCCTCCCGGCCAAACGTCTGGTTTTGTCCATCTCTGGGCAATTAATGAGCATGAGCTAAGAAATGAAGGTGAAGGGTTCACGTATTTCCTATATTTAGAATGAAATCCTGGACGTGGACCTGCCCCTTTGATTTATTGCTAATGACAACCTGTGTACGTTGGATATTAATTACAAGCAGAAGAGCATCAGGAAAGCATCAAAGCGCACTTAGCTGGATTATGACCATATTTTAGAAAGCACAAGACATGAAGGCGATGCTCAGTAAAAACTTCTTATTGTATGCGAAGGACAAAGCAAGGCATGTTGGCTGCGGATAAGCTGCAGGTCCTTCACCCTTAGAAATCCACTGCAGCTCATCTTAATTATCATCTGAAGCCAGTGAAGATTAACGCTTGGAGAAGGAAGCACAGGAATGTTGAAAGATTAGTGAGTATGAAGACGCTAACTTACTTGACTTGGAAAACACAAGATGCTATCATGATGATACACATGATATAGAAGATGGGATAAGTTAGTTGCGTTTTATTCGTCACAGAAAAAGTGATCATGCCTGAGACGGCTTTCACTGAAATAACAGTCAATGAGGCTGGAAAAGAAAACAAAAACACAAATAAAGTACATATTTGAGACAGAATTACAGACACGTATCTTGAGTTTCTGTGGTGGAGTAGCATGTGTGGCAATTGTGCTTTAAGAGTGAAAAACCGTTGTGAAAGGTGCAGGGGAAGAAGTGACCCTCCACAAGCAGCCCCTTTTGTTGCTCAGGCTGTGCTGGAATTTAAATTTGTTTAGATCAGCTCAAGAACTGTGGATGGGGTGCTTTTATCTTCGGAACAAGATGCTTATTTTTCAGTGCTGTTGAAAGGGTTCTGCAGAGATTATAATCATTAGTAGATGAGAAGGGCAAGAACAGGGATGGGGGAGGTGAGAGAGTTCAGACTGTCCATTTGACATTTGTGGGAAAATATCTATCAAACTATGGGAAAAATTTAAAGCCAAATAGATGTGAAGACAGGGAAGTGGAAAGCGACACATTCCTCGTTTCCTGAGACTTGTCTGAAGTATATGTGTGAGTCTTTTTGTCAGGACATGCCTAGAGGTTACATTAAAAATGGTTTTCGACAAAGACAATAATTGGCAGCAGGACAGGAGCTGAGGTGTCATTTCTCAGAGTGAACCTTAAATCTAAGACTTACATAAACAACATCATATATTTTCTGTGCTAAACGGGGACCCATCCTTATGTGACCACATTTTTCATAGGTTCAACATGCTAATTAAGAAAAATGACCAGGTCCTATCACTGTGAAAGCAATGAGCATTTTCTCCCCACACTTCTGTAGGAGGACCCTAGTGCTTCCTTTCTGTCTCAGGTTCCCTGAAGTTACTGTTGCAAAAATTCCTTGGTTTAGCTGAAATCTAAAGAAAGTTCCAAATTAATTTTTAGATGAAATCAAAAGTCAAAGGCAAGTGAAGGAGAAATACTCCCTTTGTTGCTGTTGAGCTACCTGGTCACAATACAGCTGAGTTTCTTCCTTTCAGCTTTTGGAATGGTATTATTTCTTCATTTATATATATATATATATAATATGTTTAAAATAGTAGGTGAAGGCCAACCGAGAAGAGCCTCCCATAATTTTCTTTTCCAAAATCTGAAAATGTACTTTAACTTGAAGGACTCTAGGGTACACTCCAAATTAGGTATTTTCTTCCAATTAAAAGTCCAAATAAGTAGAGGAGACCAGGTAATAAATTCTAAAAACAAACCCCCCAACCAGAACAAAGAGGCCCTTAAAAAAACAGTCCCCTCTCCATCTTCAGATGTCTTGACGGGTCTTCTTACGTATTTCAGATGTCATAATCTGACTGATTATGACAATAGTCATATCTGAGCTAATCTGGGAATTTTAAATATCTATAGAGATCCCTATGTCACTTGATGGCTTAAGTTTGTAGGTCAGCTCTTCAGGGACCTTGATTTCCTCCTAAAATAGTTTGCCTGGAATTGGAGCACCACATGGTTATAGTCCTGTGGTCTCAACAGCCAGGTCTCCCAAAGGGATAATTAATGGAGGAGTTGACCACATTGTTCCATTAGCTTCGGAACCTCAGGATTGCAAAGAACTTAAAGGTCATCTAACTTAACCACCATCTGATTTTAAATTATACTTGAACACAAAACAAAAGCAAAACTAGAATTATTTATTAAACTGCTAAATAAACTATCTTTCTATTACCCTATATTTTCAAACACCAACTGATTAATCACTATTGTAACTGCAGCTGTTTCTAAGCTGAAGTCAGGTACTTTGAAGTTTTTTTTTGTCGGGGGACTGATGAGGATAGGTAGAAATGAAAAATTGTAATGCAATTTTGAAACATGCAATTCTAATGTTATATACACATATAAATAGAAAGTGCTTATGCATGCACAGAAAATGACTAAAAAACCCCCCTACATTAAGATACTGTCAGTTGTTATCTATAGCACTGGGAATATCTGTAAAAGTGTACATGTTCATTTTTTAAAAACTGGGAAATGCAGAAAAGCCTGGAAAGAAAAATTAAAATCATCTGTAATCTCAATACTTGCTCCCAAATCATTTTTAACATTCAGGTTCATCATTATTTTTTCTATTCATAAGTATGAATGTATTATAACATGTAAATCATATGGCATACACTACTTAGAACCTATTTTCCATTAAGATTAAATATTTTCTATGCCATAAAGTATTCTTCTAAAGCCTGACTTTTATTTGCTATAAAGAATGCCTTTGTATGAATGTATAATTTATTTTGACAATTCCCTATTTTTGGATATCTGAATTGAATCCCTTTTATTTTACTATTACAATGAGGCTACAGTGAATATTTTTGAACATAAATCTATCACTCTGCCTATTTCCTTTGGAAAATCACCTGAAGGGAATTACTGTGTTGACAGTAAGACAGTGAGGAGGCTTCTAAAAAATCCTGATAAACTGCCTGGCAGAGAACACCAGGCATACTGTTGTACTGTGCCCCATAACACAATTGTTAACATTTTTTCTTTATATCTTTCTCTATTTTCTTAATTTTCAACAATAAATATATACTCCTTTCATTATTCTCACAGCACCATTTTCCTCCAGCATATAGGCTGGCTTGTATTTGACATTTGGCCCTTTCAATGTTTTCTTAGTTCCTCATCCCGTTTCACGGACTTCCTAGATGGCCAGACCCTAGATCAGTGTCTCCTTCTTAGATTCATCAATATTTCATTTGTTTATTTTGCTTTGACAACAAGAATATGCTATGGATAGACAGGACTTCCCAGCCTTCCCAGCCTCCTGCCCTGCCAGAAGAACTGTGGTAAGAGGCTTTGGATTCCTCTAAAAAAGGAGACCACAGACTGCAACAGAGCTTCCGACACCCAAACGAACACACAAACCCTCTTGTGAAGACAGATAAACCCTCTTTATCGCCTCCTCACTGTATTTCTCCGGTCTAACTGAGATTTTTGTCCACATTTTTAAATTGCTGAGAAAGTACATTTCAATTGTCCTCATCACAAGATACAGTAAGAATCGAGGTGATGGATATGTTAACTAATTTAATTATTCCACGTTGTAGTCATAAATCATAACAGCACTTTATATCCCATAAATTCATACAATTATAAGTTTTCAATTTACAATTCAACACATATATAAATACACATGTACATATATTTGTGCATATATAAAGAGAAAAAGGAACTCACTAGAAGCCAGATTTCTTTCTTCCTGATTGTTCTATTTCTTTTTCAAATTCCATTTTCATCTGTCACACAATAAATATTACAGCAACAATAAAGAAAACACCCTACATGTGCTTTCCTTTCCCTCATTCCCAGGTTTTGCCTTGTGTGTGCTTTCACTCACACTACAGGTGGGTACAATGTCGTGGGCTACTTCTTCCATTTTATATGACACTAGACATGTTTTCTTCAAGGTAACCACATGGCTTTCATAATCGTTTTTCCTTGTAAAGTCATTAATGCCCACAGTGAAATACTCAAGCAAGAGGAGCACAGTGAAGAGTAGATACCTTGTTTTCTCATTTCTTATAGTAACGAGGACACCTTTATAGTCATCATTAAGTTTTTTAAAAATTAGGAATGGATAAGCTTTAATATGACTTTTCAGTACCTATTGAGATAATTATACATTTCCCAGGTTTATTGTGACATCACTGAAATATAAAATTGATAAATTTAAGGTATACATTGCTCTATATATGATGTACTCTACATATCTAGTGAAATGATTATTACAATTAAGTTGGTAAACCCATCTATTGCCTTTCACAGTTACCATTTTTTTTTGTGTGTGTGTGTGGTGAGAACATTTAATATATACACTCAGCAAAATTCAAATACACAATGCAGTATTGATAACCACAGCACCATGTCATACATCAAATCCCCAGAACACATTTGCCTATGACTGAAAGTTTGTACCATCTGACCAACATCTCAATATTTCCCTTTTGACTCATTAACATGATGAACTATAGTAATGGATTTCTTAAAGAATCATACTTTTTTAGTTAATAATTCAAACGCTTATAGTGTGCTCACTGGGTTTTAGTTCTAGGTAGAGTATATGTAGTATAAAGAAAAGACATGTTCTATATTCACAAACTTAATCTGGCAAGGAAGGTAAGCTGAAAGATGAAGCATTAAACACATATATAGAATGTAAATACAAGTTGCTGTGTTAAAAAGAAAAAGAAGCAGTTTCATTAAGATCACTTGGTCATGAGGTATGATTTGCTCTGGATTCCACTTGCTAATATATTTCACTTGGGATTTTTCCATCAATATTTGGCAGTGAAATTAGTTCAGAGTGTTCTATATTTGTATTATCTTCTTCAGATTTGGGATCAGCATTTATCTGATTACAGTTTAAAAAGGGAAGGCTTTCTTCTAATGTCCTCAAATAGTTCCAGTAACATCAGAATAATCTGTTCCTTAAAGATTTGAACCTTTGGAACTGTCTAGACCTGGTTTTTTTTAGAATGTGACTTCTTAACAACCCCTGTATTTCTTTCATAGTTATTTTCCTTAAAAAAAAAACAGTTTATTTGTTTTGTATGTTAAAATGAGCAATTTAAGTTTTATTAAGTATATATGTGTGTACATCTCTCTTTCCATTCATCTCTCATTTCTATTTTTGAGTATCTGTGATTTTTTTTCTTGATGGAGGATCTATTTTTAGTTGTCTTTTAAGAACTTGTTCTGGGGTGTATTTTTCAATTCATTGCTTTTCTGTTTTCTATTTCATCCATTTTGGTCTTTATCAATTGTTCCCTTCTGCCTTCCTTAGCTTTATTTCAGTGTTTTTTTCTAACTTCTTGAGCTGAATGCTTTGATTTACATCAAAAGCAATTAATTTCCTCTGAATACAGCATTAGTCATTAACTACAGTTTAAATATTAAGTGTTTGCATAGTAATTTAAAAAGTATGTGCTACAATTAAATCTTGCCTTGCCCAGCTGCAGTTTAAGAGTACTTTTTTTTTAATATTTATTTTTTAGTTGTAGTTGTACACAATACCTTTATTTTATTTATTTTCTTACGTGGTGCTGAGGATCGAACCCAGGACCTCACACATGCTAGGCAAGGGCTCTACCGCTGAGCCACAACGCCAGCCCTAAGAGTACTTATAACATTTCCAGGTGGGAAGGTTTTACTGGTTTTTATTTTTGTTATTATTTTCTGTTTTTATTTTACTGTGACGTGAGAATGTGGTCTGTATTCTTTCAACTTCCTGGAATTGATCAAGGATTATTTTGTGTGTGGCCAATTACATAATCAACTTTTGTAAATGATACACAGGCAGTGGAAAGAAGGCCTATTCTCTGTTTCCAGGATTTGGAGTTCAATATTAGAGATTCTAATATGACTTTAAGTCCATGAGCTAAGTCTCTTTTCCCCTTATATTTCTATTTATACATTTTTGCATCTTTCTGCAGATTTTCCTTAGGATATTATGTATGTTCTTCTGAACTGATTGATTACCCCCATTTGTCACACACAAATATATTTTAGTTGTAGATAGACACAATACTTTTATTTTGTTTATTAATTTTTATGTGGAGTTGAGGATTGAACCCAGTGCCTCATACGTGGGAGGCAAGTGCTCTGCACTGAGCCACAATCCCAGCCCTTGATTTTAATTTAGTAATATCCTAATCCCTTTCTTCAGTTTTCAACCTGAGTTACTTGCTTTAGATAAAATTGATGTACACAGCCAAAATATTTAACAACCAATAAGACCAATGGGAAAAGGTGGGGGTTTGAGGCCCACTGCATTAATGTTTAGTGGCTAGTCATGGCAGGGGTAGGGTTGGAGGAAGAGAGATCAGTGAAGAAAGCACCCTAGAGGCCTGATTGGTAGCTATTTTGATAACTCTTAAAGAGCTGTACCCAGGCAAATAGCTGAATCCAATTTCAGAATCTTTTTCAATATCCATTTGAGAGTTTCTCTAAAGTTCAATTTGAGAATCTTTCTTTTTTAACTATGTAAACTTATGCCATTTACATTTATGCTCATGATTGATAATTTTCTAATTTTATGTCCTATTTAAAATTTACTTTATTTTCAATATTTTCCTATACAATATACATTTTATTTTTGTTATTTGCTTTTGTTTTCCCTACCTGGTAATTTGGAAAGAAAGAAATATAAAGTTCCCTTGATTAATAACATACTTGAATTCGTTTCTAAAAGTAACTGTCTTAAACACAAATCCTCCAATACAAAGGAAAAAAACTAGTTGATGAGACAGAAAAATGAAAACCCCAGTACCTAATTTACATGGGGCTACAGCTTGTCCAATGGTATAAGTATAATCTACAGTCATAGAAAACAATACATAACATATGGATCATCTTATTGGTAAAGAAGAGGTTAATGAAGGGTTATAAATAAAATTTTGAAAAGGGGGGGCTGGGGTTGAGGCTCAGCGGTAGATCACTGGCCTAGCATGTGTGCACCCTAGGTTCAATTCTCAGCACTACATAAAAATAAATAAAGGTATTGTGTCCAAGTACAACTAAAAAATAAATGTTTAAAAAAAATTGAAAAGGGAATTTCCCAAATGTTTAGCAATATCTCCTTGTGTTGGTATATATGAGTATGTGGGGTGGGGGAAGAGGGAGAAGGGAGGGACAATATATGAAAATATAGTGGGTTATCTAAGTATCAGATTTCAAATCCTGTAAGAAGTCTCTGGTAAAAGAAGTAAAAGGGTTGGCAAACAATGAATAAAAGAAATATGGTATTTAACAAAATCATACTGCTTATGTTTATGTTTCATTTTAGCCACATTTTAAAGTTTTTAAAAATATGTAAACAGGACAGATCTTGTTAACTTAAAGTTTAAATTAAGTTTATTAGTTTATTTTAAAAATTTTTTTCAATTATTTGCTTCAAAACAATTTGCAAATTTTTATAGAGTACATAAAATTACCAAGGAGTAAAAGTCCATAAGTGTATTTTGTCAAGAATTAAACATGTCCCAATTAAGTATAATGGGCATGCAAAGTATAATCTGAATAGTTTAGACTCAACTTCTTCCTATAGGTCAGAGTTGAAAAATAGAAACAGTCAGAAAGTAACAGAATGCTCAAATATTCCCTTCAAGCTTCATTTATGACTTAACATGGACTAATTAGAATAAGAACACAATATATTCCCTTACCTAAAAGTGCCACCAGAGTAAGCAGAATCACCATATGCGTCATTCCTTTTCTTTTAAGGAAATATAGGAGAATGCAGAAAATTAATATTTCTAAAATCTAGAAATGAAAAAAAAACAAGAGTAAGTTATTCTATGCAAAATCTTCACAATGCCACACTTCTTTCCTTTTTTAAAAAAAAAATTTTAAATTTTCTTTCTCTTTTTGATTTCCCAACAGTTTCCATGAGCGCTGAGGGTGACTGAAGTTCCCAGGGACAATTATAAATCTAGAACAATATAAGGAGCTCAGCCATCCAGATCCAGAGCTTTCACACGGTCAATCCACCAGTGACACCCAAACCTAGCTCTCTAGGCCTCACCTTGCTGAGACTACTAGACGTGTCCACAGATGTGTTTAGTAGGTACACCACATGGACATGGGCAACACTTAAATCTTGATTTCCCTACTTTCCAACTTGTTCCTCCTGGGGCCTTTGCCCATATGGTCAATGACCTCACCATATGTTCTGCTGTACAAGCCCAAAACTCCTTCCTCTGCCATCCTTCACCCTCTGCCATGTTCTCCCTGGACTACTGTAATAATATCTCCTAACTTGTCTCTGATCTTACTCTTGCTTCTCAACAAGCCAGCCATTCGGCAGCCAGAAGAATCATTTAAACATGTGATTGGGATAATGAAATATTTAATTTGCAGAGGAGAATATGTATGATATACACTTTGGATATATGTAGCAATATGTCAAGAATTCACGTGCTTCTGCCCAGGAACCACTGTACTGCACTTTGCATTCACCCTTTGCTTTCTTTCTTGTTTACCACATTTTTACATATTCCCAAAGACCATGTTTATTTTCACATGTGCTTGGATTTTATCCATGTGGGATTATTTCCCTTGCTTGCTTTTTCACTCTGCATTATGCTAATGAAATTCATCCAGGATGATCCAGGAAGTAAAAATAAAAATTGATCCAGTCATTCCTTTGCTTAAACTTCTTCTTCTTCTTCTTTTTTTTCTATCCCATGTAGATTAAGATCCAAATTCTTTACTGGATCACAAAGACCCAAACAACTTTTTGGACTCAAGTTTGTACCACTTGCTTTGGATGGTCCACAAAGGCTGGTCAGAAGGACCCTTGTTTTCTTTTTCCCTTATTTTTCTTTGTCTGTTTTGCTCATCCCTCCCTCCTTTCCTTCCTTCCTTGTTCTCTGCAGTCCTCGGATTTCTCCTGCCGTTGGGCCTTTGTACTATTGTCTGCCAAAAACACTCTTTTCCTTGATCTTTGCATGATGGCTTCTTCTTAGCTCTCAGCTAGAATGTCACCTCCTCTGAGCGGTCTTTCCTGACTACTCTAATCTAAAAGAGCCAGCCAGTCATCCTGCCACACCCACAGTTTTAGGTTGCTGTAGCCGATATGTCATTGCCTGGTGCATTTCTTGTTCATATACTCTATGTTTCTTGTCTGTCTCTCCCATTAGAATGCTAGCTCAATGAAAAGAAGGACCTTATCTGTTCTGTTTGCCACTCCATCTCTAGTGCCTAGTACACAGTCTCATAATAAATGTTTATGAAATTAATAAATAAATTATACCTTATATCTATTATAAACAACTTGCCAAATACAGAGAGCACTGTCTGATAAACAGTGTTCCATAAGTAGTAACTGAAATTGTAAAATTTTCCTACCCTTAAGAAAACTCCAGTGTAATTCTGAAATTCTGTTTTATTTTTGTTTTAATACTAAAAACATTTTTTTTGTAGCCCTTAAGATAACCAGAAGCCAGGCTATTATTATTTTTTTTGATAAGAGATGGGATCTCTGGACTGAAATCAAATGTGAAGTCTTAAATTTCTGAAAACAGACAAGTACATCATTGAATTTTTACTTAAAAATCGCTGGAGAGGATTACATTTTACTGGCAGAGCCCTCTCTAAATCTAAATAAATCTAAATCTAATAAATCTAATTGTTTGAATTCAAAGTTTTGCTTGTTGATTTGTGTTTTCCTTTAATCCTCTGTGGGCATGGGAAGCCACAGGACCATATCTTACTCATTCTAAAAAGCTTCTCATCTAATATGGAAGATTAGATCATCCTTTGGACTTTTCTTCCCCTGATAAAGTAAGCCAATTATTTTCACTATTTTTCTTTTTTTATAGGACTCATTTGCCAGGCCTTTAATTCAATTGAGTGGTGCTACAAAAGCTATTAGAGTGCCATCTCTTTGCCTTCCCTAAAGCAGCCATCAAAACACTGGGTGTCCCAATCGCTGTGCACCTCACCACCAGTTAACAGGCTCCTCTTGGCTTGGTGTCCCCAAGCACAGGCTTCCATTTCCCACGGATGCAATCACAGATTTTTCCCAGCAGTGCTGTATTCGTTGCTGGAGGCCAGAAAGCTCTTCTTGCACTAAATAAAGCATGGAGCATGGGAGCTACATCTAGTTGCACTCCAGCTATTAATTTTTTGGGGGTGGGTGGGTAATGAGGGTAATGGTTCCAAGCTCTAAAGATCATGTATGACCTTTTTTTTTTTTTTTTCAAATTTCATCTCTATGACTTCAGAAACATAAAACATGAGTTCTCGTTATTCACAGAATGACTATAGTTGACTTGGGTTCCACCTTGTGCCAAGGGATCACAGGTCTCAGGAATAAAATATTCAAGAAGTATGAATTAATGTTTATTCTTTTTATATAACTTTTTTTCCTCTAAAATATCAATATTAATGAAGCTGGAATGTCACAGGTTGCTGTGCCCCAAGAAGAGGCTGCACTGCTGACTGCTATCTCTGAGGTTAGAAATAACAACAGGTCCTACTGTGTGCCCACTGCATGCTGCACGCTTTTCTCTACTTGTACTAATTCATGGCATCCTGACAACCTCTTTAGGAGGTAGAAACTATAGTTATCCCCACTTTACAGGTGAGGAAATTGAGGGTCAGGGGTTAAGTGAATGCTGCCCCAGTAGGCAGCATAATGGCTCCCCAAAGAAGTCCATGTCCTAATCTCCAACCTGTGGCCTCATGATATTATTTATTATTATTATTATTATTATTATTATTATTATTTTGGCTACATGATATTACATGGAAAGGGGCTTGGCAGATGTGGTTAAGGTTATGGAACTCGAGGTGGGGAGATGATCCTGGATGATTTAAGGGTCCAACATGATTACACAAGTCTGTAAAAGAAGAGAAGCTTCCCAGCTGCAGCAGACAGCTGCCACATAGGAAAGATGGGAGCCAAGGAACACTGGTGACTCTAAGCTGGGAAAGGCAAGGAGTCAGATTCTCCCTTGGAGGCTCTGGCAGGGAGCAAAGCTAGCCTAGCAAGATCTGAGTAAGACTTCTGACCTAGAAAACAACAGTCATAAATTTGTGTTATTTTAAGCCACTAAGTTTGTGACAATTTGTTATAGAATAATAGAAAACAAATTCAGGTTCTGTTACCTGAAATCTTTCCAGAGGAATGATTTTTCCCCCCCTTGGGTACTAGGGATTGAACTTAGGGACCCTTGACCACTGAGCCACATCCCCAGCCCTATTTTGTATTTTATTTAGAGATAGGGTCTCACTGAGTTGCTTAGCTCCTCATGTTTGCTGGGCTGACTTTGAACTTGTGATCCTCCTGCCTCAGCCTCCCGAGCTGCTGGGATGACAGGTGTGCGCTACCATGCCCAGCAAGGAATGGAATCTTTGGGAGGAATTTTCTACATTGATTTTGGGTTTTCTGGATTGGTTCTCTAGTCTATTTAGACTTAGAGGCACCAGTCACCCTGTTTTTAGTGGCTTAAAGGGCTCTGGATATTCAGGAGTGAAGTGGAAAAGGCAGACACAATTTCCTTGTTGGATGCTCCACTTCCAGTATAAAAATCCAAGCACGAGTTTACCTCCTTTTCTCTTACCAAGATTTTTCTTGGAAGCATAGCCCTTTGATGCAGCACCTTTGTCCAAAAAGAATGGGCCTTGCAAGTTCTCTCCTAGGCCAAGTTTGGACAAAGACTTGGTCCTTGGTAATCAGTTTTATTAATTCTGCATAGAGAGGTGTTTAGAGAAGTGTGTTTGAATGTGTCCCCACCTCCCCCCAAGAGGAAGACAACTTGGTTTTGAATTCTGGCTCTCCCATTTCATATTTATGTGACCTTGGGCAAGTTACTGGATCTCTCTAAGCCTCAGCTTGCCCATCTGTGAGATGTAGAGGATATTCGTGCCCCAGGTATAGGGTCATTAGGCAGGTAAAACATAAGACTGTAGTCGGAGCTATGCACAGTGCTCAGCTGCTCCATGAGCATGGTCTACTGAGCTGCAGAAATGTCTAATGGTGCAGACACACGAGTACTATATGCATCCAGAAAATAAAGCAAAGAAATATCAGGCAAGAGACAACTGCATGTCTTATAAAAACATGCAGCTTTCGCCCTTCAGGTTTTAAACACCTGACAGTGGGTTGTGAAGGAGCTTTGCCAGAAACGTTGACTTAACAATCAGCTCTGAGGAATAGGATTACCCCAAATGACAGGTTTGGCCTTTGCTTCTGCTGATTTAATTTTTTGTCTGGAGGAGCTAAAATGAGCACCATGCAGATTATTTTGTGAAGGATTTTATATTCATGACAGAGGTTTCTATTTGAATAGTCTGTTGGAAAATCTGGGTGGGCAAAATGGCCATGATGAAGCCTGCCAAAGAACATGAAGTAATTGGGGCTTGGGGCTACATTTCCTCACGTGGACTCTGCAGAACATGTGAACACGAATTACTCAAAAAGGTCCTTCAGAAAAGGGCTTCTTGGTCAAATAAACGTAGGGCACACAGGACTAACAAAATTAAACCTGTCTCTTTCCTCAAGGACTTCTGGCTTTTAATCTGCTGACAGAGATGATGGATTCCACAGAGGGACCTGTTACGCCATATCTCTCTAAGCCAGTCTGGCTTTGAATCCATGCTCATTTTTTATTTTTGGCAAGTATCAATGAGGGGAGCTACCCATCTGAGGCAGACAGGTGGGGAGAGGTTATGTTAGTGAGTGAAAAAAGGGCACTTCATTCTTCTGCTGCTAGCTGACACCAGGCTGCTCAAATCCTCTTGCAAAAGAATGCTTGATTAGAGCTCCTGGGCCCTGTGGCTGCGAAGTTTCCACCTAGTGGAAACCTGGAAGGTAAAACAGACACCCATCTGTCAGGCAACACGTAAGGTAAGGGATGGTATGACCCTGCCTGTAATACCATTTACAATCCCTGTTTTGAAGAGTGCAAAGCTTATTAAAATATCAAATATTTTTATTCATTTTGTAAGTTAGTTGATCAGTCCTGGAAAGCAATTCTGGTGCTGTATTTATATGCAGTGTAATTACATAAACAGATGAATGATTTGTCAAAGAGTAGTCTCAATTGTGTAATTATGATCTTTGCAGTCATACTTTGCAGAAAGAGTACAGAATCTGTCATACCTGATGATTAAATGTTAATTACTTAGATGTTTAACAGATTTAAATCTTAAGATCTCTGTATATAACTAATCACCCCCAGAGTCTTCAGAGAAAAAAACCATATAATGGATTAAATTCTACATTACTATTACATGAACCTATTACCCTTAAAGTCTAATCCAACGTCCAGTGCTGTTCCATATTAAAACTTATTTTGTGCTATTTTATAAATACCTAGATTTAGCTACCGTTTTTTTCCTGTTCGGCATTTTCTTTCAAATATACTGTCTTATAACTATACAATTTTACTGAAGGGTGGATATATCCTGGTACTGTAAAATTCCTGCTATGGGAATTCCTCTCTGTAACCAAGGTGGCTAGTCAGTTGACTGGATGAGTGAATAAATAAATGAATGAATTTAAGAGTTGACTCTGGGAAATGACAAAGTTTAATTAATTTCAGAGTATTTTTGTGGAAATATAAGGTTTAATAAAAAGTGGCTTTGTTCTTTTCAAATATTTTCTCTGGTGTTAACACAAGATACATCATCATGAAGCAATGCAGTTTATTTCAGAAATAAGACTTGATCTTTATTCTTTAATCTCCAAAGGATTCAGCTCAGGCTATTAATTTTCTGATCACAGGTTATGTCACTCTTTTCTTACTGGATAAAGACTGTTTTGCCTGTAGGCAGAAAGTAGTAATGTGTTGGTAGGACTTCAAGTCTGGACTGTCATGAAACATTCAACAAAGTTTAAAGAACAGAAGTAAATCACAGGGATTAAAACTTCTAGTGTGTATAGCTGATCGATGAAATCTGATAAAGAACTGAGTTTGGTGGACAGGCAGGACAATGAATGGGTGGGGGAAGGCACGATGTACGAATGACCTCGGGAAGGCTCATCTGAGTTGGGAAGCCCAATCCTAAAGGTTGGGGTTGGGGACAGGGGCTGCAGGAGGAGATAAGAAGTGACAGAGCTAGGGAAAAAAATAAAGTTATGAGAATGAAAATCAGAGCCATAACATATCAAGAACAGGTGTTTAAATAGGCAGAGCATTATGACTGACAGCTAACTAATTTATTGACCAATAATGATTCTTCCCTGAGGGTGTGCATGGTCTACTGGAATAGAACAGAAAGGAAAATAGGTGATTAAAACATAATGTGTCATACAGAGAGCCCAGAAAATGGAGCAACTATCTTGGTAATATGCTCTTTAACAGAAGATGCCCCCTCTGAGCTGTGCCCATGAGGGCAAGTTTGGAGGAAGTTGCAAGGGCATGGAGACAGGGTTCCAAGGAGCTAGGACTCTGCTGGCAGAGGGAACCACAGACACAGTGGCACTGCATTATGTGGCTACAGTGCACTAATTGAGCAGATCTCTCTTGTAGGAGAATACTTCCAGCCACAGTGTTGAGGATGAGCAGCAAGAGGACAGATTCATTAAGAGGCAAGGGATGTCTGAGCAAGGGATGATGAAAGCCTGAACTGATGCAAAGGCAATGGAAATATAAAAGAAGGGTCAAGTTCAAGAAACTTTAAAACATCCAATAGGATGAGAGGTAGAGTGGGGAGTAAAGATGTGGAAGAAGTTATGTGTAGCTCAGACTTTCAGGACTGGAAGCAGACACACAAAATATTGGAGTGAGAGAGTTTTTTGGGAAAAGGCATCGGTTCAATTTCAGATAACTTACATTCAAGAAACCAAATATCCAAACAGGGATGAGTAATAAGTGGAGAACATAGGGCTGGAGCTTAGGAGAGGCCTGGGAAGGACAGGTATGTCTGGATTTGGAAGGAGGGGATTCTAGAAAATGATGGGCAGACAGCAGATGCTGTGCAAAGTTCAAGAAGTGTCAGGAGCAAAAAATGCAATTCCATTTGACAAGATGTGGGAGGGATCTACTAGATTGTAAGGAGAGGAGTGAATGGGATCTGAGAGAGTGGACAGGGTTGGCAAGAGTAGTCAGACTATCTGAAAGCATCTTTTGATGGTGAAGGGGAGAAGGCAAATAGGAAAGATTTTTAAAGGGTGTGTAATGTATGAGGAATTTTTTTGAAAACAGAGAAAGTTAAGTATCCTTATAGAGTAAGAGAAAGTAAAAGTGAAAGGGGTAAAGAGGTCTTTCCTATAGATAGGTCTTTATAGGAAAGACCTAAGAATATTTGTCCCAGGGGTCCAAATTATAGGTCAGAGATAGTAAGATACATAGAATTCATAGACTAGGAATTGCTGCTGTATTACGCTGAATTACACTTAGATCAAAACTAGTAAACATATTCCTGCAAATGCCAAGGTCACACTTTTAAATACTAGGTATATCAACTAGGATCACACTTTTTAACTCGTTTTAAAAGCAGAGGAGTATACCACACAGCTTTTTGAGGTCATTTCTAATCCTAAGAACATACCTTGCCTGTATGCTTTGATTCTGTTTATTAAATTCACAATTATTTTTCCAATCCAAATCATGGTTAAATGCTCAGCAAGACTATCTCAGTTTTCTTCTTACTACCTTCCTGTTCTAGAGTATTTTTATTCTCCAATTTTAGCCAAATTCTGTAACAAGCTACATATTAACCATTTCAATCATGGTCTCTCCTTACAATCACCTGATAACAATCACTGTATCAAATAAAGCACCCCCAAATAATAGCTTCAAATGTCTGTATCAGCTCTTTTCATGTTTTCTTTACATGTCTCTCGGGATCATACCTGCTCATCTCAAACAACCTGTTGCAGTAATAAATGAGGACTTCTTGGAAGATGCTTCTACTGCTGATTTAATATTTCAAATACTTTGGTAATGCTCAAAAAGATTTTAATTTCAATATGTTTCTAATGCTGAGAAGAAAAAGTCGTACCAGCTCTCCAACATCTGCAGACATCAGTGGTCTAGATAGTATCACTTCAGGAATAGTGGAATTTTAGAATTCTTACCACATAGACCAGGAACTGCCAGCCAACAAAGTAATACTGTATTGTTCTTGCTGAGACAGCCTGAGTTATATTTGGAGCAAAATTCACCAATAAATATGTTCCTGCAAATGCGAATGTCATACCTTTAAATAAAACAGAAAAGACAAAGCCAACTGAAAAGGGACACTTAAAAACTTTTTTGTTGACTCAGACATTACCTAGAGACAGAGCATTACTTGTAAAAGTGCTGGCAGCCCCTCTCTATTAAAAATATGATTCATCAAGCCATCCTGTAACATCACATGTTCACCAAACGGCATGACCTTTACAGGGGCATCAAATCCAGGGATTGGATGGGCCAGAAAATAACTTCTGGTTCTTCTCTGTTGTTTCAGATGAGTCTTGGCCTCTCTGGAGCTTTTCTCAAAGGTAGAGAAGGTCAGAACATGTGCACATGCGCATGGGAAAATACATCTCACCTCCATCCACCTAATCTAGATCTCAGAGCCCAGAGGACAGGCAAGTCCACCACATGATGACCTGCCCTGCACTTGAGCATCTCTGGAGCCCCAGAGACACTCGCCCTAGTGATTTCACACTGTGAGACTCCGGTAAAATGAGTGCCTTAATCACTGCCATCTATTGGAGTTGGTTCAGCAGGAATAACAACAGGGCTGCTGACGTTGCTGCCGAATTTTAATTATTCTAATTTAGGACTGAGGGTTGCAAGGTTAGCTTAGTAAAAATGCATCGCATCATCAACCCAATGACAGGAGTGTGTCCTCAGCATCACTTAACACGATAGAGGAGAGAGTGTGGCATGGGAGGGGTGGCTGCTGGAGGAGGCGGAGGACTTGTCCTTTCCACTGAAACAGCTTTCTTTTCTTTCTTTCTTTCTTTCTTTTTTTTTTTTTTTTTAAATAAATAGCCACCTAAGAAAAACTGATAAAAGCAGTATTTTTTTTTTTCAGTACACCTACAAACAATTCAGCTTGTTTTATCACTGAGATTTGACACTGTGGAAATAATTTACAGGCAGCATTGGTTCTAACCCGAGACAATTTGGTTTGTATATAAAATCTCACAGTTTGAAGGCACTAATTTCTCATTTCTCTTAACCACATGATTTAGGTTTTGAACTCCAGTTTCTGAGAACAGTGTTTGATTTTTTTTCACGCAAGTTAGACAACACTTATTTGTAGAAGCTAAAAATAGAAGCTACAAATAAGTTTTCTCTAATTTTTTATGTAATACTTTGAGATTAGATACATAATTTTTAAAGCTATTTCTAATGAGAACTTTTGGAATAAAAAATATACATTATTAAATATTGTAATAAAACCAAACTAATAAAAGCCATACACAAGAACCTGGAGAAAAGTTATTGGTCAGTTATGTTCTTTCTTTGAAAGAAAAAAAAAGATTATATAAGATAATTATTCCAAATTAAGCTCGAAGAAGAAAGAGATTTTTTAAAAAAACAATTTTCTAAACTTGGTAAAGTAGAATCAATCAATTTAATTAAAAAATACACTTTAATCAGTCTCAGAGACTTCCAACTGTTTCTTTTGGGAAATCTATATTTCTTATTTATATTAAGCTCCTCTACCAGATTTGATCTCCTCTAACAGAATCTAGCATCAATAAACTTTCCTGTTTTAATTTCATTCTGAGTTGGTAACACAGGTATATGGTACAAAATTCCAGATACAATGAAGGTGATCAGTGAAAAGTTAGATCTCTCCTATACCCTGAGGCCACCAGTTCCCCTCCCCAACATTAACCACCACCACTGGGTCCTTAGGTTTTCTTTTCAGAGATGTTTTATGCATATGTGAGTGAGTGCGCATGAGTTTTGTCGTTTTATACAAATGATAGCATATTATAGACACTGTTTTGCATCTTGCTTTTTTGTTTTTTCCCCACTTAACAGAACACCTTGGAGGAGATGCAGGGCAGTCTCATTCTTTGAGGTTTACATAGTATTCCATTATATGATATGGTGGTAGTGGTATTTAATTTAGTTTTCCTCAATATTATCTTTGATTTACATCTGTGTCTGTGCACATCTCTATCAGTATGTCTTCATTGCATTCTGAAACTAAAAACAAAAAGGCTGATGATTTTGCAATTATACTTTCAAAATCACTTTTTACATAACATTATTTCGCTTGAGCCTCACATCACTGTGAGTCTAGTAACTCTACTAAACCCATTCTTTTTCTTGATAATTTTAATTTCAGCTACTCATGACAGTTGCAAAAGCAGTTCTAGATAGCTGTTAACAGTTGTATGCTTGTTTATTTTGTGCCATTTGCATTTTTAATGCAATTTACTGTCTCATGTGCATATTTTTCGGAGGTACTTAAAAGTGTTGAAGATAGTCATGTGTCCTTCCTTAAATAAATTTCCTTAAAGTTTATCTATATCTATATTTTACTAAAAGTGGCATGGAATGTCAGTTCCTGCTATTTTTATTTCAGTGAAACCATAAATACTCTTTTGGAGGACACAGATTTCTAACTTAGAAAACTTGCTAGTTTATCTTCTTTGGCCCTGTTACCCAAAAGAGTGATATGGATATGTAATATCCAAAAGAAGCAGGCAGTAGAGATATGCTTCTGGCCCACAGGAGTGGTTACAATTATGGTCAAGACTTGGATTCCTGCAAGTCTCATCAAAGCTGAAACTGTCTCTGAAAAATTCAAATTTCATTGCGACTTGCTAGCCAGAAGAGCTCCAGCAAGTTATTGATACAGCTGTAACTGGATGAGTCTCCCTGATCTCTAGGTATGAATTAAGTCATCATATCTTCTAGATCCCAAGAGGCCAGTTCTGGGCAGCGGAATATGCTTGAAACTCCCCTGGAGGCCTGATGCGACACAGGATCTAGGATCAATTCCCTCGGGATGTTGACTGTTTGCCATGAGTTAAAGGCCATCTAAGTTCAACTTAAAAATCAATCTAAAATAGTATACCTAATGATATATCTCAGGATGATCAGGTACTGTCACTGGAACTGTTTATAAGGAGTCAGTGGAAGGTATGGACAGGAAGGAATCATCGAGCATCTTCTGACTGCTTAGTGAAAACTTTGCCCCATTGGTCTTAAAAGGAACTGCAATGAAGGAAATGATCTAATTAACAGAACACAGAGAAGCAAATATTGCAGCACTATGTTTCCTCCCCCAGCTAACCTTGGGAACTGGTGTATGAAGCACCAAGATCTGGATATTGGAGACAGAGCAGCTGGGCACTGTGGGTAAACTTCAGGTAGGAGTCCATGTCTGGAGCTGAACACTACTCACCACTCAAGGAAGTGACTCATCTTTCTCCCTCACATCCCAACCTGCATCAATTATGTTTTCTGATCAAATATGATGCAAGTTACTTAAAAGTTGACAGTGGAGATTTCACATTTAGCTTGACAGAATATACAAGCAATGAAACCTTCTTGTATAAACTTGGCCTATGTGCAAAACAGGTATAAAAGTAAAACAGGTATACAAGCAAATTCCTACTATTTACAGTAGGTGTATACTAGGTATCCTGGGAGGGAATGTACTAAGGCAAGGTAATCCTTTTTATTAAGGTGATATTCTTAGAACTATTGATTTCATCAGCAAGTATGGTCAACATGATTGTTTTATTATGATCAGCATAATATTAAAACATGATAATAGAAACTATATAGCTAATACTAATAAGCACAATTCTATATTCTAATTTAATCCTTACCACAAATCTGTGAAAAACTATGACAGTAGTCCCCCCTTGTCCACAGTTGATACATGCTAAGGCCCCCAGTGGGTGCCTGAAATCTCACATAGGACTGAATCCTATGTATGCTGCTTTTTTCCCTATGTCTACCTACTTATAATAAAGTTTAATTTATGAATTAGGCAAAGTAAGAGATGAACAACAATAACTAATAATACAATCTAGTAATTACAATATGCTTTAATAAAATTTATTTAAAACTTATGAATTGTTTATTTCTGCAATTTTCCATTTAATATTTTTCAGATTGCAGTTTACTATGGGTAACTAAAACCACAGAAACTGGATAAGGGGAGGACTATTGTTTACTATTATATAATTATATTATTAAAACATGCACTGTATATGCCATACAGTATTCAACATGCATGATATTTAATGTATAATCTTAAACTATTACTATCTATATTTAACAAATGAGGAAACTGAGTCACAAAGAGAATAACTATTTTGCTTGGGGTTTTCCAACTAATATGCTGAGAACTTGGATTGGAAACTAGGCAGTCTGTTTTCTGTTTCATTCCACTGCCTCTTGTATGCATTAAGGGCTAGGGCTGCTGAATGGAAAGCTCAAACTGTCATTCACCTGGTAGTCTAAATGCGTGGAGCCCCCCACAACTGTACAGATCACCAACAGGCCAGAAAGAAGGAAACGATTCCTCCCGGCAGAGGTCTCTGGGGTCCCTGACTAGTCTCACATAATTTGGGGGGCTCTAATGTTCATTTAGAAGAGCATTCCCAAATTGGTGTTCCCTGAAACCAGTTTTCAAAAGGTGGAGGCCTCACCAAAAAAGGCCCAAAGGAGTCAAATATTATTTGGGAAGAGGAGAGCTAGATGAATTTGAGTAGTTCTTTCACCAGAAGACCTCTCAGATCTCCTAATGTGTTGATGTTCACATGGATTGCGTAAGGGGCATGTGATTGTCATATTTCCAAATCATTTTTGACCATTTATATTTCCCTGAAGTAGTGCTTTAGGGAATATTTTCTACTGTGGGAAATACTTGACTTGTAACTGGCCTGGCTGTGAGAGTGCAGCCCTTGTTTCAGGAGGTGCCTGGTCTCCTATTGCAAAAGTCTCCTGTAGACACCTGTGGACAGGAATGAAGTACAAATGTGTTCACAGGGAACCAAGCCTAGAATCCGGTTCCTCCTAGTGCTGCTGTTTGCTGGCACCTCCAATGAGCTGATTCCCCTCCCACCCCGCAGGGGGTGGGGTGTCTTTCACTTCAAGATTGATGTGCAGGGCTGGGGGTGTAGCTCAGTGGTACAGCACTTGCCTAGCATCCAGGATCGATGATATACACTTCTTCCTCAACTAACATCCTGTTTTCTAGACCAGTTTTCCCTTTCACTAAAACCTGGAATCTCCTTGAATCTTGAACTCACTCCCCAGTTGGATGCCAAGTAGTATTAACTGCCTATTTTATAACTTGACCTGACTTCTGGGAGCCTTCAGAGTCTTAAAATATTCAACCAACCTCACTCCAAACAAGGTTGATTCCTTTAGTCCTCAAAATATGTACCTTGATTAACAGGAAACCAGTCTCTGCTCTTTGGGATACCAGAAGTCACAGAGCAGACTGGACTGCTTAACTCCAGACATTTGGGACCACCCTCCAATAAATGCAGCCATTCCAGACTCCTCGAAGGCACCCTAGACTGGGAAGTCTCAGTGATACAGGAATCCAAATGGTCCTGGCTCTGCCATCAGAAAGGCTCCCATTCTTGAGGTATCTGAAACCAAAATGTCCAATCTGTCCTCCCCATTAGAAATGATGCTTCATTTGGCTGCGATACTCTTCTAGATTCTGGACCCAAACCACAGTGATCTCGGGTGTGTGAGAAGGAAGGAAGGAGGTGGCCTTCATCTCGCTATTAATCCCTTGGCTTCCCATCTGGGGAAACCCTTTGTAGGTGACTTGAAGTAATCCAGTTCCTGGTCTCTGGGGGAGTGCTGATGAGTTAGTTGACTGCAGTTTTTATTTCTATGATGACATTATCTGGGCTCAAATCAACAAGGATCTCGGACTATTAGGTTTGAGACTTTTGATGACTGGGAGAAGAGAGAGGAAAATACTATAGTTTTTGGCTGGTCAAAGGGGAGAAAAATCTGGTGCTTTTAAAAAGGAAAAGTAACCATTAAAATAATTTAAAATTATTAATCCACTAAGAATCAGAGCAGAGTCCAATGCTTGTCATTGAGTTAATAATAGTTGGCGATTCCTTTCAGACATAGCTTTTGTGAGGTCATTTTTTGAGGCTAGTGGTGAAAAGCTTCATAGCCACAGAGCAACATTTGGCAATAAATTAGTTCAGCTTGTTTCCACATGGCCCCAAAATCTTTATTTGTTCCATCGTGAAAAACAAACTTTCATTTGCTTGAAGCAGGGAAAAATAAATGATTTTTCTTCTCACATTTTGACAATTTAATTTTTTAGCGTGCTCATATGTTAATCTTTAAGAAACACCAGTAACTACTCTTTTCCCTGTTTGGTTTTAGACCCTGAAAAGGGGGGAAAATGCATTTTTTGCTTTTAACAGAAAGATCTTAATTTTCTCAAGGCAACAGCAATAAAGGTCCAAAGGAAATATACTGACTTAACACATTACTGAACACAGTTGGGGAAAAGTCTTCCCTGGACTTCTGTAAGTATAAAGTGATCTTATGATAGTGCTTGTCAGAGGAAAATGTGTGGATATGTGACTAAATCCTGTTTTATTGTATGCCACTGATTAAAAGGCAAGAACTGATCACTTTTAACTGTTGTACGAAACAAATGTGATACAAGTGATGTAGCCATATTCCAAAAACATTCAGTTAGAAAGGGATAAAATTCCCAGAGTTCTGGGAAATGTTACCTGGACTACTAAAGGTAGAAAAATATTCTAATTCCTCTGATTAACTCGCAGAGCACAGTGGTGGTTGCTGCTGGTTGTAAAAGTAATAACAGGAACAGCGAACATTTTGAGTTCTTATTATGGAATAGGCCATAATTTAATCCTGTGAGGTAGGTAATATTAACCTTCATTTTTAAAGATGAGGAAATTGAGGCTTATAAGAGCTTATTTTATTAACTCTGAAAATAATAACTCTGAAAATAACTTATTTATTAACTCTGAAAAAGTCAAACAGTTCTCTGATGCTAGAGACTCACCCCAAACCATTATGCTACAGTTTTATCAGGTGGCCACTGTTAGAATACTGGCCCATCATGCACCAGTTAGATGGCTCTTTAACCTAAGTTTCAAATTTTGCTTCTGGAAATGGGGTGTTCCTACATTTAAATGAGATAATCCATGAACAGCACAACATAGTACCTGGCAAGAATAAAAGTTCAAAAGTTGTTAGCTGTTATTAACATATAAAAATTATCAAAGAATTAATTTGAAGTTTTACTTTGTTTTCTTGGTGTGTGTGTGTGTGTGTGTGTGTGTGTGTGTGTGTATGTGTGTGTTTCCCCATTTCTTATTGTTTTAGTATTACCTCTTGGGAATCTCTTGGATATTAAGGTGATCATAGTAATTATAACAATTAGAGTGAGAGAGTTTTACAGTTCTCAAAGTGCTTTTATGTGAATAATCCAATTTGATTTTCAAAACATTTTTTATGTATTTGTCAGCAAACTGAGGCTTAGAGAAGTAATACTTATCTATATATGGTTGGCCATATAGTAAAAAGCAGAAGTTGAATCCAGATTCAAATCCATTAGAGTGAATTTAATTAGATCCTTTAATTTGTTAATTTATTGTATCTAGTAATGTTTAGTTAATCTTGGATTTTTTTAAAGTACATAAGCAAACCATCTGTACATACTGATATTTCCATCTTTTCTTTTTCCATAGTTATGAGTTTTTCTTATTTTTCTCCTAGTCCTTATAGGCAGCAGTTATAGTACAGTTAGTAAACAGACACTTACTTTGCCACTACTGTACCTTTGTGGACGCTCCCTGCATTAGTCCCTCTATGTGCCCCCTTCATGTCCTTGGATGTGGCCTATGCCTGTCCTATTCAGTAAGTCAGGACTGATTTAAATGTTGATATAAAAAATTCCCTCTGATCTTCAGAGAGATTACTTCTCTTTATTCTAACCTAGTGGTTCTCAATTTGGCATAATTGTGTCCTTTAGGGGCACTTAATAATGTCCAGAGACACTTTTGATTGTGGTAAGTGGGGTAGAGGGTGCTAGAGACATCTAGTAGGTAAAGGACTGTAGGGTGATAAACGCCCAGCAATGCAGTGAATATCTCCCTACAACAAAGAATTAGGGAGCCTGAGATGTCAGTAGTGCTGAGATCTAAACTAATGGCTCATGACATTATGATATACATTGTTTTCTACTTCTAAAAACCGTGTGTGTGCGTGTGTGTGTGTGTGTGTGTGTGTGTGTTTATTTTGGTAACCAGTATTGAACCCTGGGGTGCTTAACCACTGAGCCACATCCCCAGCCCTTATTTTTTATTTTGAGACAGGGTCTCACTATATTGCTTAGGACCTCACTAAGTTGCTGAGGCTGCTTTAAACTTGTGATCCTCCTGCCTCAGCCTCCTGAGCTGCTGTGCCACACTACCTAGCTTTTATGTATTTATTTTATTATGAATTGTAAATTATTTAAGGGCAGGGATTCAGCCCTAATTATCATTTTACTAACAATATTCAAGACAATTAGCAAATCTTCCACTAAATCCATGTATATTATCTCATTAAGTCATATTAATTTAATTGGTAACTAACCACCCACTACAAAAGATAACAGGTGTTAGATAAAAGTGTTCAATGTTTCCTTAAGACATTTGATAAATGACAAAATCAACATAGGATCTGCTTTTTTAATTTATGAAACTTGGGCATTGGTCATTCTTACTTCTGATGGCCTGTGACTTCCGCAAATGATTCCATAAACCACAACACATAAAAAAGAGTACAGAAAAAATAATATGCGGCAAAAGATACAGTTCACATATGAATACATTTAAAAAAACATTTTAACCATGAAAAATGTGACAATGTTGACTAAAAACTCTACTAGCAGAATCAAACCAAGGAGGAAAAGAAAAAGTGAAAACACTTTCAAGACATCAGGCTCCAGGGAAACATGATCTGGGAGAACAAATGCTCAACATACCAACACTGGTGTCACATTTAGAGCTCACATTTTTCGAAAAATATGATCTCCCTGGAAGAGGGCAGGCATTGTTTTATTTCAAGTGCCTAAAGTATCTGTATTCATTATCATATGTCAGCAGCAATTCAAGCAGGATTTTGTCAAGGAATAAAATATGAAACTCTAATTCTTCCCACCAATGATATTTCCAACAAAAGCAAGAAGACACAATGAATAAATGATAGCTTCGAAGTGTAACAGAAATCTCTTTTATAGCCAGGAAGACTACTTTTATTTTCTTTTCATTTTCTATTCATCATTCACTTTATTTATTTTTTCATTGACTTTAGGCTTAGTTTTACCAGACCACTCCTTCCTCCATTACTCTCTTTGTTTTCTATTAACAACTATATTTCCAAAATTTGGAAGAACAATCCTCTGTGTTACCTTTGCAAGGAGTTAAATACCATAGGTAATTACTTGGTGATTAATTATCTTATTTTGTGTGGTTTTCACTTTTATACCATACAAATGCAACAATATAGAAAGCATATCCTTTGAAGTGGAAATAGTCTATTAGGCAACACAGAAATTTTCATTGAATTTTATGTTCATAAAATTTTACAACATTAATAATAACAACATTACAAAATGATAGCTATGGCCAGTAGCATGAGCCACGGTCACAATGAAAATATGAGTATTTCATGTGAGAAGGGAAGGCAGTTCCAAAGCAGAATTACAGTCACATCTAAATGAGATCTGCAGCCATTTCATAATTTTCTCCTAGTTTTAAAGTACACATTTTTTTATGAATACTATTATTTATTTCCTGGTCAAGCAATTTGTAATTACATGAATTAAACAATTACTCACCCAGTAAATCTGAGGCTCTCAAATTTTCTTTCAGAAACATAACAGAAATAATGGCACTACCTATAAAGAAAATGGCCATTAGTGCTAGTTCTAATATAAAAACATATACTGTGCAACTCCATTTGAAAGAAGTTAAGCATATTATGCCTCATGCCTGACTAGCTCTATCCTGAGCAGAGACACCCAGCAGACTTCCTTCTCCCTGTTGAAGAAACCTAAAGATGGGCCTGGTTTACAGGAGATCTAGGACAGTGTGGCTGGGACAATGCCTGGTATAAAAGGAGAGCTTGATAAAGCTTCTGAATGACTACATAAATGAATGGAAAGGAAGAAGGAAAGGGTGGGAAATATGCAATCATAATTCCCAGAACCCTTGGTGGAGTTTCGTGCTCCATGGCTTTGACACATGCAGCTCTGTCCCCATTCTGTGATCAAATCTATATTCAAGCATCATTTCTGGAATCTCTCAGCAAAGTGGACCGCTCTACCATTGTGCTGAGATGACCCCTACATCGAGTTTTTCATGATAACTAAGAGTTAGTTTCTAGTTTTTGCCTAAAAGTCTGTCAGTTCCTTTTGGTCTGAGATGTCTTATTCATTTAAGATCCTCAGTATGTAGCTGGTATCTAGCATATAATAAGTTCAATAAGTGATCACTGCATGAAATGAAATAAGTGAGATCCCAGCCCTGAAACTGCTGACTCTTGTCATGTTTTGGACTTTTCTTGCCACAATCAATGCTGCTGAACTTGCATCCCCATACCTGAGGCATGGCCTGCTGCCGTGACCTCAGGGAACAGGACCAAAGTGAACCTCTCTGTGTTGTTCCTCATCTGGGGCTATTCCTTTATGAGTAAAAGCATTAGAGAACTCAGAATTGCAATAATAAAAAAATGCACAACATAATTTGTCTTTTAAATTTTTGCCAAAAATTACTAGCTAGGATTTTTTTTTAAGTATATTAGAATGAAAAAGAAAAAAAAATCAATCACTTTATTCTTATGTTCAACTGAGTCAATACGCTTGGGATTCTGTATTTTATTCATCTTTTGTGTTTTTACTAGTTATAAAAATATGCTTGATGAATACACTTTGGAATGTCATTAAATACAGTATTTTAAAATTATTACATTATTTAAAATAATACATTATTTCAAAATAATCCATTCTTACTTACATAAGGGATAATCATTGGTTTATAAATTGTTTTACTCTTTAGGCTTTCTATCTCTTCCTACTCTGTTTGGGGCTATTTTATAACTCTTCAGGAGGCCTAAAAGGGTTGATCAGACTGTGAAAGGACACTTACATGCAAAAGATATCTTAGCTATCCTCTGGGATTTTAGTTGTTTGTTTTTTAAGTAAAAATAGAGAAAAAATCATAAAATAATATCATCATCTAGAGAAAATTATGGTTAATAATGTTGATGTTTTTATTTTTATCTAGTTGAGATTAAACTATAATACAGAATTTTCTGTTTTCTCAGTCATCATATTAGAAATAATTTGCCATGTCATTAAGAATTTTTCATAGACATAACTTTAATGTCTGAATAATAATCCATTCAATGGATGCTATAGCTAAATTTGAGTATGACTATGTCTGGTATTCTGGTAATTTATTTAAAACAAAATAACAGGGGCTGGGGATGTGGCTCAAGCGGTAGCACGCTCGCCTGGCATGCATGTGGCCCAGGTTCGATCCTCAGCACCACATACAAACAAAGATGTTGTGTCCACCGAAAAAAACTAAAAAATAAATATTAAAAAAATTCTCTCTCTCTCTCTCTCTCTCTCTCAAAAAATAAAACAAAATAACAAATTTACACCAAGAAATCTTCATTTAAGATAAGCTGGCACCAAAAAAAAAAAAAAAGAAAACCCCAAATAATCCAATCACATAAATAGCCAAAAGAACTAAATAGGCACCTCACAGAAGAAATACAATGGGTCGACAAATATATGAAAAAATGTTCAACATCTCCAGCAACTGCAGAAATGCACTAAAAAGAAAAAAAAATTTAAAAAGATAAGCTGGGATACTCATATGCTTTTATCCATTTTTCTCCCTTAACCTAGTCTTTCTCATTTAAGTTGATCCTTGTCCTGATAAACTTTTCCAGGCAGGTTATTTATAGAAATGGAAGTTTGACTCAAAGTAAACTGAGCATGGGAAATGTTCATCAAGTGCGTGTCTAAAGCATTAAAGCAAGAATTTCATAGATTAACTAATGTATGGATATGTAGCTAATTAAATGAAAAATTGAGTTTGGGACAGGTACAAAAAGCATATGAAAAGCTTCTATTTTAGGTTTGGACCAAAATGATTCAGGAATAATTGGGTCCAAAGAGGTAGTCTGTGTATTCACTCTCTGATCCACTCACCTAACAAACATTTATATTACAGCAGAACTGGAGCCCAGCATCCATACCTGCTTCTTCCCAGTCCAGAGCTCATGCTTTTTTAAAAAATTTATTTGTATATAATAATTAACAGAATAGTGGATTTCACTGTGGCATATTTGCACATGCTACTTTGATCTATTTCATTCCCCAGGACCTCCACTCCTCCCCCCGCTCGCCCCTTTCCTTTATCCTAATGGCTCCCTCTATTTTCATGAGATTCTTTTCTCTCCAACTTCCACATATGAGAGAAAACATATGACCCTTGACTTTCAGAGTCTGACTCACTTTGCTTAACATAATGCAGAGCTCTTTCTAGTATACTGCATGCCATTTCTTCCCTTGAAGTCAGAAAAGACAGCTTTTCTTTTCCTTTTGTTGCTAAGCCACAGTTTCATAAACAATTTTACTTTCAGAAGGAAGAGGGAAAAATGTAACATAGAAATAAATTCATTGCTTAAAGCACAAAGGACATGAATATAACAAAAAACTTGAAATATACTACATTCATTACACTGTATCAATTTGCAATAAAATAATTATGTTTCATGAAATATAAATATACTCTTCTTTTTTTTCCAAATTTAAAAGTCTAATGTACTTATACACTGACTTAATGACATTTTTCTCTTTTTTAAAAGAGAACATGAGCTTTTAGAAAAGAGAATAATATTTTATTTATCTAGTAAAGTAACAAAAAAAACATTCTACAAGGACACATTTACTTATAACTCATTTATATGCAAATCATGGTAAAATAGGAGCTGTGCTGAGCAAAAAAAGTCAGTATCTGGGCAACAGCTAATAACATGGCTTCTAAGTAGAGGAGTAAATTTTTTAAATGAGAAAAAATTAAACTGAAGTACTCCCATACATCTTGGCAATCAGATATCTGTCCAATTCAACTTTCTTGATTAGTTGCTATAATAACTACTGCCTAATGAACAACTAGGAAGGTATATTAAAAAATGGAGCTCTTCAATATTTTAATATTCGAAAATAGAGCATTCCACAACCAATAGTTTAAAAAGCACTAAAATGGAACACATCTGCAAAATAACAGATGTGCAATAGGTGTGATTAGACTACAGTTATTATTGAGGTTTACTTCAGCATTCAGTTCTGTGTACCTTTTTGATTTTCAATTCCAGGTTTTTTTGGGCAGAGGCTCATGAATGTTTTTCCATGTAGCCTTCAGAAATGTTATGGTTTTGATAATGGGTGTGAGACAATGCAAGAAAGTTCAGAGGTGAAATGATTGGGTTATGAGAGCCTTATCAGTGCTTTAATCCCCTGATAGGGATTAACTGTTGATGGCAGGCAGGTAGGATGTGGCTAGAGAAGGTGGGTCATTAGGGGTGTTCTTTTTGGGGTACATATTTTTTGAGCTGAACTTAGTTTCTCTCTGTTTCCTGTGCCATGTCCTGAGTTGCTTTCTTCTACCACACTCATCCACCATGATGTTCTGCTACACATTGGACCTAGAACAATGGATACAGCCATCTGTGGACTGAGACCTCTGAAACTGTGAGCTTGAAAATAAACTTTTCATCCTCTAAAAGTGTTTGTGTCAGGTCTTTTGGTCACAGCAGTGAAAAAGCTGAGACAAGAAGACATGAAATGCTCATTGGCCTTGGTGCTTAATCACAAAGCATCAAGATGGGTGTAATGAAAACCAGGAGGTGGGGCGGGAGCTGTAGCTCAGTGGTAGAGCGCTTGCCTAGCAGGTATAAGGCACTGGGTTCAATCCTCAGCACCACATAAAAATAAATAAATAAATAAAATAGAGATATTGTGTCCATCTACAACTAAAAATATTTAAATAATAAAAAAGAAAACTAGGAGAAAAATGCACATTCAATAATGTTGGAAGGTTAATAATATGTCCCTCCAGGTATATAGGCTATTTTCCCAGGCAAAACTTATTGCCCACAGTCAATAAACTGTGATTCTTGGCAAGTGAGAAATGTTTACAAAACTTGATACCCTTTCCCCCCAAGCTTCTAAAAAATTGATGGTGAACTCTGCTGTTGCAGTTGCCCTAAGAATCATTCTATCTTGAGGCCTATGTAAAAATTTTGTGAAAGGGGCTTAATCTGACCTGTCTTCCACTCCCTCTTTATTTTATTTTCCTAAAGGAAATGCTCAGTTAGAAAAGATGAGTCTGATTCATGAAAATGCTGTGAAGTGGAATGAGGACAGGAATTAACCAAAAAGACTTCCTTTCTTCCATTATTCAAACTATCACTGTGGGTGAACAGCAGGGGGTCCCACGGAAGGGCGTTGGAGCCAAGACACTGATGAGGAGGCAAGGCACTGATCTGCGAGGGCTGAACACCTGGCTCTAGTTTCAACTCTCAAGAATAAGCTATGAAACAGCTCCCGGATTAACTTCTTATCTTCTGGGTTTTATTTCTTAAACAGGTGAGATAAAGCACATTTGTTTTGTGGCTTCCAATTACCCATGCTGTTTGAATATGTTATAAATAGCTAGTTATTTAAGAGAACATAGATCAAGCCTTCGTGTTTTTCAAGCAGCTTGGAGTATCTTATTGATAAGCAAGAGGCAGGTCTTCTGTTTTCCAAGATAGCCAGGTTCTGTGTATGCAGGTGTGACTTGACGCACCAAGTTATGAGGCACTGCCCTGTCCTTACTA